CTTGGCAGAAAAAGAAGAGTAACAAGAATGCAGATGCCAAGAAACGAGCATCTCCTAGTCGTGCAGATGAGAAAGCTCCCAAGAAAAAGAAGGCGAGGTTTGTAGGCTACTATTGTATGTTCCTTTCTTGATTGAGAGGCGAGGTTGGCCACATGCTACTATCTTTCATGCCTCCCAAAATGTTTTGGGGCGCCGTTGATTTGACCTGGCAGGAGAAGTGAATTTCCATGTGAGCCTGTCATCCTGGGGTGAGTGCGCATTTTTTGAAGACGGGGCTTCTCATGCGCGCCCAGCTGAAAGTGAAAGCGATCGTTTCTCTCCACAAGCAAAACTGCTTGAGTGGGGGAAGGTTAGTGCTGGAGCTTTTCCAACCCAGGCTAATTCCACCTTAAAAGGTTTGATGAGCAGGTAGCTGTGGGAATCCCCACAACTACGTTTTCTTTAGGTTTGAACTTTAGGGGACAGGGCCGAAGAGCTGCCAAAACAAAGTGGTTGCCCGTCGTTCAATCATTGTGTCGGGATCGGGACTCGGAACTGTTTGAGAGGAATCAAAATGATCCATGAACACCCCTAGCTTCCAATCTTCCAATCACCACCCCTGTGAAAGCCACCAGAGCGCGTGCGACTGCGTGCGACTGCTAGGTCCCGGACCAACGCTTGAGCAGCTCACGCAAAGTGTTGGCGAAGGGGCCATGACCTCAAATCCGTGACTGCTCCACAGTTGTCACATGCATCAGGCCCACAGTATTGCGTCATTGCTAGATCAGTTCTGGCCCAAAAAAAGATCTGTAAATTTCGACCCTGACTTGCTACACGTGGCCATGGCTGATGAACGTGAGCGCAGTCCAAGACCCCCGGCTTTGCGGCATGCGCCACCGCCCAGCACACCAGGAGCAGTCTGTTTAAAGAAAATTCTATGCTTTGCTGACAGTCTTACTTTTGAGGCTGAGTGTTTCTTTGATGTGAGTGGCAGGAAGCAATCATGTAAGTCGCACAGTATTGCGACGCTTTTGGTCTTGGTCATCCGCTTCAGAGATAGAAGCGCGAGGTTCCTTGCCTGCTCTAGGATGCAAAGGGTCAAAAACCTGAAATAATTTATCACTATTTCTTCTTAGGGGACCTCCCAAAGCCAATCTATGAGCCTGATGTCTTGCAAGAGCATCCATCCCTGAAACAAACTCCACCATGACAAAATAAGGCTGGCAAATCCCGCACTCAGATTCGCTGCCGGAGATTGACCCTGAGACTGGGGAAGAGATGTACTGGGTGCTTGTTGAAGACTTGCGTGAAACAGCGACTAGCTTTCATTCAGATTCCAAGTTCCACTTTCCGCGTCTTTTCCATCTTGTAGGCGCATGTTCTGTCAAAAGCGTTTACTGTACTCTTGCGCTTGTTTTCCCAAGATCCCAGGTGTATCGCCGGCGTGTTCGACCTCCTGCGCTAGTACGCCGCGGTGAGCTGCAAACGCAAGAGGAGTCGGTGCCTGGACCTGAAGAGGCTGGAACTGAGCACGTCGGCCTTGCGAGTGAGGCAAATGAGAATGTTCAGACGCTCACTGAAGTGGGCGAATCTCATACCCAATATCTTGTAGATCCGTTTCGTGATCTGGCACTTACAGGCTGACAAACAGTCTGAGTGGAACTTTTGATGGGGCATTGCAGCTTTTCTGAGCCCCAGTCATTCTGGAATGATTGGCTGCGGACAGGTTTTGGCTGCAGGGTGATTTGACTAGTGGATCGGCAACAAAAGCAAAAGCTGATAAAAGCGGTGTTCTTCCGCATGCACTTGCACACATGGAGGCATCCAGCCCAAAATGTCATAGAGCCTGCACAGTTTGTTCGGCGCCAAGGCCTCTTGCGCTGCAGCCCTGAGAAGTGCGAAGGCCGTTGTGAAAGAAGCTGGGTCTGCGGTGTCACCGGCCTTGAATGCGCTGGCTAGTAGGTCAGAGCGTCATGCAGAGTCAGTGTTTCACAGACTTGCATCGGAGCAAGGGCTTGCTCTGGATATTCCGCTGACTGAGCTGACTTTAGACTCCAACACTGTTGTGCCGGTACTTCTTCTTTCAGATTGGATCAAGAAACTTTTGACTCCTGACTTGTTTTTGGAAAATGTTAGATTCTTTTAGGTAGTAGGGATGCCTGACAGGGTTCCAATTGCGAGTGGCCTGTTTGCTGCCAAGCCCCCTGTCTCAGGAAGACCGGGAACTGGCACACTCTTGCTGGTGTTTCTCACCGGGATGCAGCAGCAGAAGAGTTGCAGTTGTTCTGGGACCGCTGGAGAGACTTGAGACCCACGCATCAAATTTTCGAGTTTGAGAAATCTCACGGAGTTGTTCTTTCTCGAACCGTCCCCATGATGCTTCATGGGGACGAGGGCGGGGAAAGAAGAGGACAGCAGTGATGTGCATCTCGGCCCATTCCGCTTTAGGAAAAGGCGTTCAGACCCGAAAGAAGCGGAAATTGGATCATCAGCTTACCGAACAACAGCTCAATTACGCAGGTGCAACGCATGTGACGAGGTATTTGATGGCAACCCTGCCGAAACAATACTATGAGGCTGCTGACAGCCAAGTCTTCGAACGATTGTTGGAAGAGTTGTCGAAGGACATTGGGCGATTGTCCCGCGAAGGTTTGCTGTGCGAAGATACTGGACTTCGATACTGGATCAGTCCCCTTTGCATTAAAGGGGACTGGCCATTTCTTCACAAAGTCGCTGGATTGGAGAGAAGCTTCTATAGTCAACCCAAAAGAGAACGGGCTGCCAGACCTTGCCGAGGGATTTGCCACTTCTGCCTAGCAGGCAGGGATGGTATTCCATTTGAGGATTGCTCCCAGGGGGCCGAATGGCAATATACCATGGGCATTGAGAAGCCATGGAGCAAGCGGCCAGTGATCTTGGACTTTTTGACGCACGACCCAACGTTTGAGGAAATTTTCTTTATGTGCGATCCATGGCACACATGGCACCTCGGCGAAGGCAGGAACTTTGCTTGCAACTGCATCAAGTTACTTTTGGACATTACACCCGGCAGAAATGTCGATGTGAGACTTGCACACTTGTTTACAACGTACAGAGAGTTTTGCCGCAGGGCGCGTGTGCAATGTTACGCGAACAGATTCTCTTCAAATCTATGTGGGTTGGTAGCTTCAGATTTCCCCACCGGATCGTGGACGAAAGGAAACTTTACAACCTCGCTTGTAAAATGGTTAGCTGACTATCTGTCTGCGCAGCGCAACAACTTTGTTCGGGGAAGCCTTCTGGACTTAGCAGCTCCTTTCATGAACAAGTAGTATACCTGTTTTGCAGCCAATCCTTTTTCCCCAAACAGTTTACTGTTGGGGTTCTATCTTAGAAAGAAAAG